CAAGATCAACTCCAAAAAATTAGTTGCCTTCCTATACACTAAGGATAAGGAAGCAGAGAGGGAAATCAGAGAAACATCACCTTTCACGATAGCCACAAACAGCATAAAATATCTTGGGGTAACTCTGACCAAGGAAGTGAAAGATCTATTTGACAAGACCTATAAGTCTTTGATGAAAAAAATTGAAGAAGACACAAGAAAATGGAAGGACCTCCCTTGCTCTTGGATTGGGAGGATCAACATAGTAAAAATGGTAATTCTACCAAAAGCAATCTATAGATTCAATGCAATCCCCATCAAAATCTCATCAAAATTCTTCACAGATCTGGAGAAGACAATAATCAACTTTATATGGAAAAACAAAAAACCCAGGATAGCCAAACAATCCTATACAATAAAGGTTCTTCTGGAGGCATTACCATCCCTGACTTCAAACTCTATTACAGAACTACATTACTGAAAACAGCTTGGTATTGGCATAAAAAGAGAGAAATCGACCAATGGAATCGAATAGAAGACCCTGACTTTAACCCACAAACCTATGAACACCTCATTTTCGATAAAGGAGCTAAAAGTATACACTGAAAAAAAGAGAGCATCTTCAACAAATTGTGCCGGCAAAACTGGATGTCAACCTGTAGAAGAATGAAAATAGATCCATATCTATCACCATGCACAAAACTCAAGTCCAAATGGATTAAAGACCTCAATATCAGCCCTAACACACTGAACCTGATAGAAGAGAAAGTGGGAAGTACTCTACAGCATTTGGGCACAGGAGACCACTTCCTACATATAACCCCAGCAGCACAGACACTAAGGGTATCATTGAATAAATGGTACCTCCTGAGGCTGAGAAGCTTCTGTAAAGCAAAGGACACTGTCACTAAGACAAAAAGGCAACCCACTTACTGGGAGAATATTTTCACCAACCCCGCAACAGACAAAGGTCTGATCTCCAAATTATATAAAGAACTCAAGAAACTAGACCGTAAAAGGCTAATCAACCCAATTATAAAATGGGGCACTGAGCTGAACAGAGAATTCTCAACAGAAGAAGTTCAAATGGCCAAAAGACACTTAAGGTCATGCTCAGCTTCCTTAGCGATCAGGGAAATGCAAATCAAGACAACTTTAAGATACCATCTTACACCTGTCAGAATGGCCAAAATCACAAACACCAATGATAGCCTTTGCTGGAGAGGTTGTGGAGAAAGAGGTACACTCACCCATTGCTGGTGGGAATGCAAACTTGTGCATCCACTCTGGAAAGCAGTGTTTCAGTTTCTAAGGAAATTCGGGATCAACCTACCCCTGGATCCAGCAATACCACTCTTGGGAATATACCCAAGAGAGGCCCTATCATACAACAAAAGTATATGCTCAACTATGTTCATGGCAGCATTGTTTGTAATAGTCAGAACCTGGAAACAACCTAGATGCCCTTCAATGGAAGAATGGATGAAGAAAGTATGGAATATATACATATTAGAGTATTACTCAGCAGTAAAAAACAAGGACTTCTTGAACTTTGCATACAAATGGATGGAAATAGAAAACACTATCCTGAGTGAGGTAAGCCAGATCCAAAAAGAGGAACATGGGATGTACTCACTCATATTTGGTTTCTAGCCATAAATAAAGGACATTGAGCTTATAATTCATGTTCCTAGAGAAGCTAAATAAGAAGGTGAATCCAAAGACAAACACATAGGCATCCTCATGAATATTAACCTTCATCAGGCGATGAAAGGAGACAGAGACAGAGACCCACATGGGAGCACCGGACAGAAATCTCAAGGTCCAAATCAGGAGCAGAAGGAGACGGAGCACAAGCAAGGAACTCAGGACCGCGAGGGGTGCACCCACACACTGAGACAATGGGGATGTTCTATCGGGAACTCACCAAGGCCAGCTGGCCTAGGTCTGAAAAAGCATGGGATAAATCTGGTCTAGCTGAACATAGCGAACAATGAGGACTACTGAGAACTCAAGAACAAAAGCAGTTGGCTTTTGATCCTACTGCACGTACTGGCTTTGGGGGAGCCTAGGCAGTTTGGATGCTCACCTTACGAGACCTGAATAGAGGTGGGTGGTCCTTGGGCTTCCCACAGGTCAGGGAACCCTGATTGCTCTTCGAGCAGATGAGGGAGGGGGACTTGATCGGGGGAAGGGGAGGGAAATGGGAACCAGTTGCGGGGAGGTGGCAGAAATCCTTAATAAATAAATAATTTAAAAAAATAAAATTAAAAAAATAAAGTTAAAGCCTTCTTTCCTTTTTGTTCAAACAGAAAAAGGGGAAATGATGGAGGAAGGTCATTGGTTAAATAAAGAAACTGCCTTGGCCCTAATACGTTAAAATTTAGATAGGCGGAGTAAACAGAACAGAATGCTGGGAGGGAGAGGAAGTGAGCTCAGAGGCCACGCTCCCCTCTCCAGGGCAGATGTGATGAACCTCCGACCCAGGATGGATGTAGGCTAGAATCTTCCCGGTAAGCACACCTTGGGGTGCTACACACATTATTAGAAATGGGATAGTCCAGGTGCGAGAGTTAGCCGAGAAGAGGCTAGATATAATGGGCCAAGCAGTGTTTAAAAGAATACAGTTTGTGTGTTGTTATTTCAGGTAAAGCTAGCCAGTGGCGGGAGCTGGGTGGCAGAATGCAACCCACAGCTCTGTACAACAAGTGTGGCTCTGCCACAGACAGGATCTGCGCTGATTTCCTGGGCTCCTGTTACCATGGAAGGCAGTATGAATGCTTGGGATCTGGACCCACAACCAGAGTCATGTGTAGGTTCAAGAACCAAGCTGCTGTTGGGTCCTTGCCTATCTGAGCAACTTGCAGTGCCACCCAAGGCAATGGTGTCATCCAGGCCCTGAATGCTGGCAGGGGCCATGCCTGAGTCCATGGCCCTGCCACACCTATGATCTTGATACAATGAAACACAGGCAATATCTCCTAGTGACCCCCATTCATTTCTAACTAATCACACTCCAATTCCATGAACTTCAAGTCATAATTAAACTATTAAGTAAAGCAACACGTAAAGCAGACAAGGGAGGCAAAGCAGAATTCTGATAAACTATATTCATATACTTCATGTGCACAAAGATTTTAGGGAAGTGTGTGTAAATGTTTTATTTTTCAGAGGGTGAGAGATGTGGACTGGCTCAGAAAGTTCACAAGAGAGTAACACAGCTGGTAGATCCTAAGAAATGGATCCCTGTGCTCATGTGCCCAGCGTGAAACAAGGGGATGGTGGAATGATGTGCAGGAAGCATTTACCCTCCTATAGGCTCCCACCTATGAGCTAAATGTCTTGTTGGTCTCCAAGAGAAATAACACTCCACTGTGTTTCCTGCTCTTTCCTGGACTGTTCTTCCATGTCCAGGGGAGCACTAACCAGGTACTTGGTGTGTTTTAACAGTTAGAGGTCCATCTGGTCATAGTAGCCCAAGCCTGTAATCCTAGCACTTGGGGTCAGAGGTAAGTGGACCTCTATGAGTTTGAGGTCAACCTGGTCTATGAGAATGAGTTCCAAGACAGCTAGGACTGTAACACAGAGAAATCCTGTCTCAAAAAAAATCAAAAAAGTTAGAGGTAGTGTGGTCTTCATCTCCATTTCAATTCTTCATTTGTAAACAGACAGTAATGGTATTTTCCAAGGTAGTTATAGCAAAAAAGAAAACGTGTTACCTCTCTGACACTGACATTGTAGTCTTCAGTTTAGACCTACCTCAGTCCTGCAGAGAAAATTACTTACTTCATACCCTGTTGCTCCCCTCACACTTAGCAAGATTCTTTCTTTTTTGTGGTGAGGAAAAGGGACCCTTAATTTGAAATCAGAAAGATCTAGTTCTAAACTATAAACCCTAAAGGTCAAGCCAACAAACTGTAAGAATAATAACCGATTGGGTTGCTATGAAAGTACCAAGATATCAATCAGAGGGACAGATTGGGGAAATGGTCATCCTATCTCTTCAGTCTCGTGTTGAGGCATGTGGAGTCCCACCCTAGAGTCTGCTTCCTCCTCTAGCTCTCTTTTTTATTTCTCTCTGTCTCTTCCTCAGATAAAAACACTGATTCATGGGCTGAAGAGATGGCTCAGAGGTTAAGAGCATTGCCTGCTCTTCCAGAGGTCCTGAGTTCAATTCCCAGCAACCACATGATGGTTCACAACCATCTGTAATGAGGTCTGGTACCCTCTTCTGGCCTGCAGGCATATACACAGACAGAATATTGTATACATAATAAATAAATAAATAAATATTTAAAAAAAACACTGATTCAGAGGAAGAAATGCAGGTTATTTTTTTTCAAATTTCAGGTAACCATTATTAAAGAGGGATGCTGTTCAAATTTTAATATATGGTGTTATGGACTGGAATAGCATAAAAACTAACAGAATGTTATATTTTTAATTTACTTTGTCTGAATGGCATATTGTATATGTTTATTTGCTCATGTACATGTCCACTGAGTCTTTCTATAAAACACATCGCCTACTGTGGGCTACAGTCATCACTGCCTGGGTGCTCCTGGAAGCTCAGTACCAAGATTACCTTCAACTAAAGTTTCTAGGGACCTTTAACAAGTTGTCCCTAGCTAGAAAAGGTAAGATCCCTTCCTATTCTGTGTGCTCCTGGAAGCTCAGTACCAAGATTCCCTTCAACTAAAGTTTCTAGGGACCTTTAACAAGTTGTCCCTAGCTAGAAAAGGTAAGATCCCTTCCTATTCTGTCCTCACACTCCTAACCCACACAGATGCACAGTTGAGGACCTGTCAATCTGTGACATAAGAGTTTAGGCTTTAATTTTACCTCTAGTAAAATAGTGTCATTCTTAAAGAGCATCTAGTCATGAAGACAGTTGGCTTAAAGAAGAAACCACAGCCACACAGTTCCTGTGGTAACAGCTCTGCCACTCCCCTGCCTGCTGGGACTAATAAGTCTAAGACTCAAAAATCCAGCTTGCACTAGCTGTGAGCAGCCCCCTGAAAGGATGCATCTTCCTGTTCTCTATCTGCTGCTCTTCCTCCTGAGCTCCAGTGCCAAAGCTGGTGAGTGTTGGGGTCCTTCCCTCTCAAATGTTCAGGGTCAGCTCCTAAAGCATGGAGGTTTAGTCTGCCTGTGGGGACTATTAAATGGGTCTCAAGATCTTCTCAGGAGCCCAAGAGTGAAGTCTCTCCTGGGACACACCCTTCCATTCTTTAAAGCCACATTGGTCTCCAGGAACACAGAAACTTGTGGTGACTGAGTGGGGGTAATCCTAAAGCAAGTGGGAGAAAGAGGGAGGTTCCAGAAAAACAGGTAAATCTTCATCTTTGGGGCTTAAGGCAAAAGATTACCCTATGATTTTTCTTAAGACCACATGTGCTTCTGGAAGGCAGATGGGCTAGGCCAGTGCAGAGTGTGGGAAATCAGAAATGAAAATTGCCTAAACCTAAGGCAGGATTGGCTTCTGTGCCTTAAGAAAGAAGTGACTGTTTGGAGGAGGGTGAGCTGTGGATGAGAAACGATGATCAAAACACCTGAGAGGAAGACAGGCAGCAATTAGAACAAGAAGACCGAGGGAACCCTCTCCCGACCTTAACCCCACTGTGCACTCTCTGGAGAGAGCATCTTCACCCCGGTTCTCTGTTCTAGGGGAGATCATCGGGGGCACAGAGTGCATACCACACTCTCGCCCCTACATGGCCTATCTGGAAATTGAAACTTCCGAGAACCACCGGTCAGCTTGTAGTGGCTTCCTGATAAGACGAAACTTTGTGATGACTGCTGCCCACTGTGCAGGAAGGTGAGACAGGATGCTATTTCATCCCTAAAAATGAGATAAATCATGAGGGTAGCAACCTGGATCAAACCCAGGTGGGACCTGAAGAGGGATCCCAAACCTAGGCCAACTGACAAGTGAGAGACACAATTAAAGAGACACCCGAGTCTCAGTCACTAGAAATGCAGCTCCTTACAGAGGCAATGGAGCTTTCTCCCGTAGTATACCCTCCAGACCCTCTGTAACAGAGAAGATACTCATTTGTCAGTAGTTCTCTGGGCCATCTCTCCTTGCCATTTTCAAGAACACTGACAGTCAGTGCCCAGGGTCCAGAGCCGGTCATTTCTAAGGAAGACAGACCAGCATCCACAGGGCACTACTACTCCCAGCTTTCCTTGCAACTCTTGCTGAAGAAGACTGGCCACATAAAAGTTCCCCAAATGGGGAGTGCCACCCCTGACCCCTAAGTCATGTATTTCTTGCTCATTCCCCAGCAATTCCAGGGCACCCAGACCTAGAAAATACGTCTTGCAACAGAAACTGCAATGTAAAAACTCTTTCTCGAAGCCTTTTCTCTCCTGAAGCTGACTTGAGCCCAAGATCTACCTTTAGGCCCAAGTGCAGACATCTCCATAGTGCTCTCCTGGTTACAAAGTTAGCCATCTGAAACCACGAGGAGCCCAGAATGAGGGGATTGTGAGAGCCCCGCATCCCAGTGAGGAATTCCAACCTTTTCTCAAAATGAGTTTATCTCTGAAGCTACCACTGTCTTCTGCTTGTCCTTTCTTTTTTTGTTGCTGTTGTGGGTTTTATTTGTGTTTTGTTTTTGAGTGTCATGTAGCCCAGGCCAGCCTCAAAGCCACTATATAGCTAAGAATGACCTTGAACTTCTAATCCCCCATGCTCTTTCTCCCACGTGCAGAGATCACAGAACTGCTCCACTGTCAGTTTATACAGCGCTGGGCATCAAACCCAGATCTTCATATATGCTAGGCAAGCACTCTTCAGTCTCAGCCCCCATCCTTCCTCATAACAGGTCTATAACAGTCCTCCTAGGAGCCCACAACAAAAAAGTAAAAGAAGACACATGGCAGAGGCTTGAGGTTGAAAATCAATTCCCTCATCCAGCATATGATGAGCATTTGATGCTCAACGACATCATGTTACTGAAGGTAACAAGTTTCTACTTCCATTCCATTCCCTTAGACTTTTCTTTCAGGTCCCCATTGCCCTAAGCTTTCTCTGCTCTGACTCAGGTCAGAACTCCCATCTTATCCCCCACCCCTTGTTCTTGGTATTTTGCCCTTTCCCTCCCTGATTGCCTGTAGCTACCTCCTAGCCCACAGCCCTCACTAAGAAACCCTCAATCTCTTCACAGTTGAAGGAAAAAGCCAACCTAACCCTAGGTGTGGGAACCCTCCCATTCTCAGCTGAGTTCAAGTCCATCACACCTGGCAGGGTGTGCCGGGCAGTTGGCTGGGGCAAAACAAACGTGAATGAACCAGCCTCCGACACACTGCAAGAGGTGAAGATGAGAATTTTGGATCCTCAAAACTGCAATCACTTCCCTGATTTTCACAACGAGCCCCAGCTGTGTGTGGGCAAGAAGATGCGAAATGTATACAAGGTGATCCTTTTACTAGTGTTTTCGAAAACCACTGCTGGGAGCCAGAGTGCTAGAAGGAGGCAGGGCAGAAGATTGTCAGCTACTCTCAGGCTTTAGGGATCGGGGAGTGAGGGAACAAAGTATCCATCTTCTGTCTGCTGTTCAGAGAATATGGGGTGGTGTGAGGAAGGTTTGGTGACTCTCCCAGGAAAGAAAGATGCGGTATCAGGGTCCTGGGTTGACTCTAGACCTAATTGCAACTCTAAGGTGAACTGGGTGGGTAGAAGTAGAGGCATCCATTCATGCACTTCCTGTCTGTGCCTTCCCCAACAGGGAGACTCTGGAGGACCCCTCCTGTGTGCTGGGATAGCCCAAGGCATTGCATCCTATGTACATCAGAACGCAAAGCCACCTGCTGTCTTCACTAGAATCTCCCATTACAGGCCATGGATCAATAAGATCTTGAGGGAGAATTAACTCTGGAGCTTGGACTAACCTGTGAGGAAATCTGGAACTGGAATTGAGCAGGTTTTCTGTGTCATATGCTCTGGCCTGCCTACTACCTGCAGAAGCCTTGCCAACTCCCCAGTCTCCCTGAAGGTTCTTAGATGTCTCAGAAGGTTCCTAAAGGGCAATACACCTCAATAAAGACCCAGATTCTAGACTGCAATGTGTATTTCCTCTCTCAGATGCTCTCTTCTTCCTACACACAGAAACCTGATTTGCAGTTTAAATAACTTAAGATTTGGCTTATACGGATGGATGAGTTTGAATGAACAGGCAAAGACAGAAGGATACACAATGAAACAGGAAGAGAGATGGGAAATAACAAGGAAAAAATAGAGTTTTCCTGAAATATCTATCTACCTATCTTTATCTTTCTCTCTTCGCTTCTCTCTCTCTCTCTCTCTCTCTCTCTCTCTCTCTCTCTCTCATTCTGCTTCTGTGTGTGTGTGTGTGTGTGTGTGTGTGTGTGGTATATACACATGTGCATACATAGGTGTACATGCCCATGCACATAGAAGCCTGAAGAGAATGTCCTGGGTATTGTTTTATCACTCTCTGACAGAATTTTTTGAGACAAGGTCCTCAGTGAGCCTGAAGCTACACTGGTGGCCAGCAAGTCACAAAGATCCTCCAGTCTCAATAGTGCACAACTGACCACACCCCAATTTTATATAGATGCTAGAGATTCAAACTCCAGTCCTCATACTTTCACAGCATGCTCCCTTAGCCACTGAGCCATCTCCCATTCCCTAACTTAACTACTAACCCTATACCAGCCTTAATTTATATTTAATAATTCAGAATCACTGAGAACATTTTGTATTGCAAACAAGCTATGGGATCTTTAATGTATTTCTGACTTCTCTCCAGTAGAGGCCAGTAGCAACACCATCTACACCAATCAAAATGCCTTCAGATATTGAGAGAGAAAGTGCGGCATCACTTTCAGTTGAGGATCGCTACTCCCCCTGTCTGGTGGAATAGAGAGGGCAGCTAAGGTCAAACACTCTGGAAAAGAGCCCTCTCATCTATAAAGCTCTAACAGGGCACAGGGGGCATTGCCTCTCACTTGTGGCCACAGAACAGATATCAGAAGCAAACAAGAAGAAAAATTATCACAAAATCAAATTTTGCAACATCCTTCCATCCACAAAGGTCTCTGCAAAGACGACCAGGACACCGAAGGACTACAGCAGTTCAGTACAAACATTTGCCTACAAGAAGAATAGTTAGAGGAAAGCACATCACAGGATAGGGATACCAACCAGAGCCTGAGGCTGGCAACACCCATTGCTTTTGGGAGCATGGTGAATTCCTTTGGCCAAGCAAATAATTTCCAAGAATATCTTAAGAAGTAAAAGGAATGGGCTGAAAAGATGGCTCTGCAGTCCTCTGGAAGAGTAGCCAATGCTCTCAACTGCAGATAGGTGGTGGAGAGACATTCATACCCCTCCATCTAGAAATGTTAGTTAGAACAATATAATAAGAGAGCAAGGCTCATGATCCCCAGATTAACACCATTGAGAGAGAGAGAGAGAGAGAGAGAGAGAGAGAGAGAGAGGGAGAGAGAGAGAATATGAGGCCATGAGTGTAAACTTGTCAGCAACCATAAAAACAGAGGGAATAATTTCAAATACTCCAGATCGGAACTCTAACTTATCAAGCCACCTCTCTCTCTTATTTTATTTTTGTGCGTTCATCTACAAGCATGCATGTATGTGTAATTTCACATGTGAGACTGCATATGTGTGTGCATGTGTCCATGCATGTGTGTGTTTGTGCAAGTGGAGGGCAGAGGTCAACCTCAGTACTGTTCCTAACATGACACTCATCTTGAATTTTTGAGGCAGGGTCTCTCAACTGATCCACAGTATACTCACCAGTAGGTGAGGCTGGCCGGCCAGTGAAGCCCCAGAAATGCTCTAATCTCTCCCTCCCAGCACTGACTGGGCACAAACACTTGCCTCTATACTAGGCTTCTTTTCTTTTATATGAGTTCTGAAGACCAAATTCAAGGCCTTAGGCTTGCACAGAAAGCATTTTGCCAAATGAGTTACCTCCCCAGTGCGCGCGCGCGCGCACACACACACACACACACACACACACACACCACACAAGTCACCATCCCAAAGTGTTCTTACCAAGACACCAAGGTCTGGTTTGCTGTTTCTAATAAACCTTCAGATAAGGGGATAATGACAATTCAACTCAAATCTTTTCTTCAAGTATGGATATAAAGTACCAATGTTTAAATTTTTTTCATCTTGGCCTGGAGAGATGGTTCAATGGTCAAGAGCACTTGCTCTTACAGAGGATCCGAGTTTGACTGGAAGCATCAGCATGTGGTAAGCAACCATTTGCAATTGCCATTCCACGGAATCCAATGCCCTCTTCTGACCTCCAGGCACACACATGGTTCACATACATATATGCCGGCAAAACACTCATAGGCATAAAATAAAATCATTTTAATGTTTTAATTTTAAAATCTTTACAAATAACTGTCAGTTGATCTGAAACAAATTCACTGAGGATATATTTGTTGTATAAAACTTTTAATTAATGTGAATATATAACCAAACTATATTTTATTTTTATATGAAATGTATTACTATAGTAATATAGTGTAACTTTAGCTAAATAAATGTACTTGCTAGTGATTGTTCTCAAATATTTGCACTGATAGCTGAGAATACAACTCAGCTAGCAGAATGATTGTCTCTCATGCCTGAAGTCCTGAGTTTGACCCCCAGCTCTGTATAAGCAACATGAACTAGGCATGGTGACACTTGCCTGTCATCACAGTACTTAATAGGTAGACAAAAACATTGGAACTTCGGGATCATCCTGAGGTACAAGAGAACTTTTCTCAAAAATTGACTCATATCAAAGCGGTCACATTTGGATTTGGATAATAACAAAGAAATTAACTTTCTCTATTGGCTGTTAACAAGAATTAGTCATTTAAGATTCTTGGATCAGTAGATTTACGTGTAGTGAATACAGCATCTAACATACACGAGGACTGAAACCATTTGGAAGTTAAACACCTGAGGAGCACCCTAGGCAGTAATAAGCTAGGACCTCAACATGCTGCGAAGAGAATATCTGAATATTACAAATTTCAGCTGAATGAAGTTAAGTCTCTCTAGTTTCTTTGATGATGATTCTGCTAGGCTTCTATTCCAGATCACCTTGTAAGGCAGAATTAACTGTAGGTCAATAATCATGGGTTGGTGTACCAATCCCTCCACTTGAGGTCTTGCCTGTTAACAGAAGTTGCCCAGTTCAGGCTCTGTGTCTCCCATTTCCCCCATTACCAGGATTCTTTGCTAGGGTACTCTCTTAGCTTTCATGGAGTTTCCATTGCACTAGGGTGAAACCACTTTTTTTTTATTGAGAAAAGGAGAAAAAAAAACAAGTTTCCACCTCCTCCCAGCCTCCCATTTCCCTCCCCCTCCTCCCACCCTTCTCCCCCTCCTCCCACCCTTCTCCCCCTCCCCCCACTCTTCTCCCCCTCCCTCTCCAGTCCAAAGAGCAGTCAGGGTTCCCTGCCCTGTGGTAAGTCCTAGGTCCTCCCCCCTCCGTCCATATCTAGGAAGGTGAACAAGGCCAGCTGGACTGTGACTGAAAAAACATGGGATAAAACAAGACTCTGTGAAACCACTTTTTAATCTTTTTTTTTTACTAATTTTTGAAAACATAGTAAATGTTTTGATCATACCTGTGACATTGCATTCTGATTTTTTTTTAAAAAAGATCTATTACATTCTAAGAGACTGGAGCTTCTGCTGAACCTCATAGTCAAATTAATAATACACCTTGAAATCACTAAGACTTAAGACTGCCAGTGGGGTCGAACTGCCCATTTACCCTGCCTTTAAGAGAACAATTTAACAACCAACATTACTTGCCTTGGGTTTTTCTCATGTAATTAACTTTTACAGTCTACATGAATACATAGCTACAATCTCATGCTTTGTTCTCTTCTGTGTTCCGATACAGGTAATGCATTTGTATCATATGCTGAAAGCAGCAAAGACAGAAGTTAAAAGGGAGCTTCTAAAATTAATATCTACCATGAATACTTGGGTACATCTGGGATTAAGATAATTCAACTTCTATGGTATGTCTGTAAAGATTTTTTTTTAATTAAATCATTTGAAACATGAAGATCCACCTTTAATCCAGATCTTTTGAGGTGGGAAGATCTATCGTTAATCTGGGCCACACTTTCTGGTGGTAGCCTATAAAAGGGACATAGAAGAATCTCTCTCTGTCTCTGTCTCTGTCTCTGTCTCTCTCTCTGGCAAGTACATTCCTTCACTGATATTAGAGTCTACTTCTTTGGGGTGCCAGCATATACTGAAAACCAGCCGAGACATCCAGCCTCACATACAGAATGATTACTGGACTCTTGGATTTTCCGTTAGTTGACAGTTGTTGGACTAGCCAGACCACAGCCTGTAAGTCACTCTAATAAATCCCTTTTCTATATCCATACATGGATTCATTCTCCTTGTTTCCTGTCTTCTCTGGCGTTGTGGACTGTTGGCTGATTATCCTTTGTTTTATGTCTAATATCTACTTATGAGTGAGTACGTACCATGAGCATTGAATTATGAGGCAAGCCACTGGTCTTTATCCCTGCATGTGCTTCTGGTTACCAGCATGGATCCTTAACCCCCAACTCCCAGGGAAGATGTAAACATGTCTCTTTTGGAGATTCCCAATAGCCCCAGAGGAAAGAAACAAAGATACACACCCTGGCTACCAACTACCAGCTGAACACCAGACACAGAAGTTCATGTGTTGTGAGCACTATTTAACATCTTGCTCCCCAGTTCTTACCCAGGCCATCAAGCGTTTCCTCTGAGAAGATACTTCAAAACAATAGGAAAAAGTAAGAGAATAGTGAAAATACTAAGAGATTTTTAAAGACATATCTCCAGAGAGTAAAAGACAACAGTACACTCTTGAAAATGGAACGAAAGTGTCAAGGGGGGCAGCTCAGCGGGTGAAAGTCTTTGCAGAGCTTGATCCCAAAACTCAGGTAAAGGTGAATGGACCCACAAAGCTGTTCTCTGACCTCCACAGGCACCACCATAACAATAAATAGAATCAGATCCATCACCACTCTGTTCTACCAA